ACAAACAACCATCTAATAGTGGTTCTGGTCAAGCTCAGACAACTGTACCACCACCAAGTTCCCCAGCAGACACCCCAACATCTCGGTCAGCTGAGCCAGCCCCTCTACTTTCATCTCAATATGAGCCCCTTTCTGATGAGGACTGAATGAAGTGAAGACGTTTGGAGATGTTACGGACAACAGTGAAATGGGTGCATCATTATCCCAGACAAAGTAAAACTACCGTTTTCAGCTTTGCGTTAAATAGCCAGCTGTCAGTAACAGCTGTGCTTTGTATCTTCGAGAGGTAGATATTTCTTTTAAACAAGGTGCAATTTCTAGCACATAAGGCTTATAAACTTTTAGCTAATGAGAATGACTTAAGAGTGGATAATGAATAAGTCCTGGCATTATGGACTATTTACCAGGATACTGGAAGAAAAACTCTTAACAAGTGTTGTGATTTCTGTAGGGGTGGATATACTTTTTCTATTTAAAAGAAGAAAATGTAATGTGATAACACATGACTCCACATAAAACCGCCCGGGCCATACAGAGGCCCTAAAAATTGTCTCTTAACCAACTGTTTTGTTGGTGGATAATAAAACTTTGAAGAATTGCGGTGGATATAGGAGTATCATTAATGTTTTCTGTTCATAAGTGATAATTCATGGGAAAGTTCCCTTAGAAATGTCACTACACTTGATTGAAAAATCAGTTGTACATAATTCATTCTTGGTTGGTAACAATTCTCTTCTTTCCTTGTATTCTCCTAAAACACGAAAGTGACGGAAGCTTAATATTATTAATACTGTAAATTACTTTTTTAATGTATGGCGTGCTGCTAAGTAATATGACCTCGGAAGTGTACTGCTTTTATTCACGGTTTTAAGAGACCTAAACTCGAATTTTTTTATATAAAATAGCGACTCTGAACTTGTTCACGAACAGTTCTTTGTATGGGTTTTGCAAATGATTTTCTTTCTTTTCTTTTTTGCAAAGAGATGGGTTTGACGGGTGAGCTTGAACTAGAAGGATCCAAACAAGCTGTGTTCTTTTTTATTACAATTTGTCTGAATGGTGATTTTCTTTAGTTCATGTTTTGTAGAATTTGCATCACCATTCTTTTTATCCATATGGAAGAATTTTTTTTTGAAAGCAAGTGAATGTTACTTTAGTTCTTAAGTTAAGACATTACAGTGAAATTTAAAACTATGGAAAGACAGCCGAAGGTGGAAGAGACGTGTAAAAAATTGTAAGAAAACAGAAATAACTTGGGTCTTGACAAAATACTCAGGTCTATGCTATGATAACTATTTGATTGTAATGTAAATTTGAAAAAATGAGGAAAAAAAAAAGAAAGAAAAAGTTGGACACACAAAATTTAGACTTGCGATCAGTACCTTCTATTGCTCATGGTACAAACTTTCTTCCCTTTAATTATCTACTCCACTTTTAAATTGTTTTAAGTGATGAATGACAAAATATGTGCCAGGCTTAAAACAATGCCTGCAGGTTTTTCCATCTTTAATTTTTAAATGCTTCCAGGACCAGTGGTAGGAAAACTTCAAGCACTTTGGAATGATCTGGAAGCATACCATCTTCGGGTTGGTTGCTCTATTTACTGTTTCTTGTTGGGGCTTTACCCATTAAAGCCTACCCCTTACCATTTCGAGTTCCCTGTGATCACCAAGTGATCTGTGTAAGGGAGATTCCAGGCTCTCCTCCACCTCATTGACAGAAAAGAAATATACACAAGAAACACAATCTTAGATTGTAGGAATTATACTGTAGTAACTTTGATGTATTAAAACAAATTGTTATTTTTGTTGAAAATAAAAATCACAAGTGTCCGTTAAAAATTGTGGCATCACTTCCAGACGAGGGACCATTTTTGCGTTCCAGAATATTTTATCACCTTGACCTCTTGTACCAAAACCATCCTATATAACAAGTATTAATTCTGAAAACCATATACAGAGTTACTCTTAATTACATATAATTAAATATAAGGACTGTGTTCCTTTCATAAAGTTAGGCAAAAATGCTCTAAACATGTCACAGGTGCTTGAATTAAATGCCAAAGCCTATCCTTTCTCATATAGTATGGCTTTCAGATGACTTGTAGAAATAAGCAGGTATGATATCAGGCAATCATCGAGGCCACAAAACGGGTCAATTTTGTTCTGTCCATCAATCTTGGTAGTGAGAATCACAAAACTGCTTTATGTCGCAGGTACAATTAGCAGGAACTCCATCACGGTTTGTCATGTTGCTAGCAGTACATGTTCCAGTGGCTGAAATAATTAATCCATTAAAAAATATAGGTAGGATGCTCCTGTGAGCTGAGACAACAGCTTGTAGTCCTATGAGGACATCACCAATTACTCTGTTTAAACATTGCTTATAATCTAATACTTAGGTCATGAATATGTAAGAACTATGTTGCTTGGATTTAGGAGTTGAACATGAACCTTGTATTCACTATACATAACTAAGAATCACCCTGTCTGGAATATACTGTTATGTTTCTCTTGCTCTATTTCATATGAAGTTGAGATCAGCAAAAGCTATTTGAAACATTAAATAAAAATTGCTAAATGAAATACATTAGATTACTGCACTAGATAATGAAATACTGTGTGAGGTTGGTCGAAGTTTGCTTGAGAAAAAAAATGACCAAATTAAATGGGACCTGCTACTGACTACCTCACTGTTGCAGTACAGAAAGTCTTAATATTCTTTTTTTTAATTTTCATTATTCAGGCTAATGGTCAACTGTTTCATTACAGTGGAAAGTAATTATGTTGTGGTATGCTACAATAATAAACCAACTAACTTTAAGGTGAGATTTTATGTTCTGACAGCAACAATTATGAATGTAAGATTCTTGGCAAACACCAAATAATCTCTTGAGTTGGGAGATTGAGCCTGGTCTGTTTTGTTTACTGTCACAATTCTCAATCCACTACTTATTGTTAGTTTCACTGCCTTTTAGGATGATGCAGTAACTACTTTTACTATTTGCTACCTCCTTCAACACACTATGACACAGCCTCTTCACTCCATAATCTACAAATCATGATCTTCGGACTATTGTACAACATGAATTAGAGGTGTAATTGTTGTTGGTACCTGCATGCTCTTTGTAGATCTTTGTCTTGTCAGTTGTATTGGTTGGGAAGCCTGAGGGGAAGAGACCGCTGGGGAGACCTAGACGTAGATGGGAGGATAATGTCAGGTGGGATCTATGGGAGATAAGAGTTGAAGGAGACTGGATTTTATTGGCCCAAGACAGGGTCCGGTGGAGGGCTTTGGTTAATTCGGTGATGAACCTTCGTGTTCTGTAAGCTATCTAGTTAGTTCAGTTATGAAGATTTCTGTCTTCTGGGTTGTTGCGCTGTGTAGTCTGGTAGATGTTAACCAACGTTTCAGAGGTCATACTGCCTCCGTCATCAGGGCGATTCATCTACACAGCGCAACAACCCAGAAGATAGAAATCTTCATACTCACCGCTGTGAAAACCTCAAATCTTACATAGTTCAGTTATACTTGGCGGTAGAAACTTTGGACTACTAAACGTGTTACTTTAATATCACGGGTTTCGTGTGTGATATGTGACCGTGAATCACGTATTTTATTCATATTTGCGACATCTGTTGGATAATGGGAAATGTATACGTCCTCCTTTCTTCTAGTAGTCCTCGATTCTTACGTTCCATGTTGGTGTCGCTATTTGCTTGCGTATTTATGTTGCCAATTCTCGTAGAGTGGGAGGCTCCGCATGTAAGTAGTGGCCCAAGCTAAAGCATCTGTGAAGATAAGTTTACTCGGTTTTGTCACGTGAAGTTCGTAAATTATGAATTAATAGTATCCGGTGAAAACAATGTCTATTGTAGAAAAGGGTAAGACTATTAATTTGTTTAAACTGGCAAGGTAACATTTTGTTAGAGTATATCACTTATACAGTAATTGTTATAGGTGAAATTACGAAACTACAGCAGCATTTGTCGCTGTTAAAGGAGGAATACGTAAAATTGCAAGCGCACTGTAATGAATTAGAAAGGAAGTATGCACTTGCTGCAGCAGCTGTGGGGGAAGTAAATGAAAATAGCTTTGTAGCAAAACTTCTGCAGACTGTAGCAGGATTGTTTGATCAGCAACTTTACAGGTAAGGTTGTTTCTTTGTTACAGTAATAGTAAATACAATTTAATTTCGAATGTAGAACACACGTTATACATACCTTAGTTACAGTGTTTAATGCATAGACTACGCTGTTTATCAGAATTCAAATCAAATGGTGACTTAAAATGTGATTTGAAAGAGAAGTTGAAGCTGACTTCAAAACTGTAGGAAGAATAAAAGAAATTGAACTGTCATTCTTTGAAAAAAATTTTATTCCCTGCTTACAACACTGAAAGATAAGGTTATGTTAAGTTGTATTATGTATTTTATGTTCTAATATTAACTATTACTATACTTTGGCATGTATAAGATTATCATAAGAGATATGTAGTTATATCAGTAAAATATTTTGACTCTTTTGAAGTGTTGGGAGAATAACAGAAAAATCAAGTCATTGAACGAGAGGTAATTTCTGCATGTGGCTTAGATTAAAATATGTAAAAGCATAGTTTATTTGTAATTTTGGTTTGGTAGGGAACTTTGTCCCTCAGAATGCAGAATATAGTATGAGGTGTTTGAGAACAAGGTGCCAAGAAAAATGGTCTGAGAGAGAGAGAAGTAATAAGTAACTGGAAAGTGAGAATGTGTGGCTGCAAGATTTCAGTATTGCCATTGGTTTTGTTGTTTTGTGCATTGAAGTGCTGCATGTGCAGTGGTTGGGGTTTTCATTTGAAATAGAGCACTGTATATCATACACTTACCTCTTTGCTAACAATTTCTGATTTAATGTTAGAGAAGAAAATACCACACAGTGTCAAAGTATTTATTAATGTGCCTTTCTGCTTTCTTGAGTTTTTTATAGTTATTTTATTTGTGATGTCCTTTTTTCAGCGATATGAAGGTGAAATTAAATGGACGGCTCATTCCTGCCCATCGGTTTGTGTTAGCAGCTAGAAGTGAACACTGGGGTGTCCCTTCGTTGGGAAATGTTGACTGTCTTGGTAATATATGTGTTGTGTTTGCTTTAATTTAATGCTAAATATATATCTATACCTTGTACCTAGGTCCATTAAAGTATCCTGTTATCCTGTCAGATGGTTTAAATAGGTATGCAAGACATCATAACTATGGTAATTTTTTAGAAATAAATATGAAGGTGAAATCTGACACTGATAATTATAAAGAAAAGTTTAAAAAAAAAATTATTTGTTTGACAGGGTTGTCAATGGCATATATATTTACATCTGTATCACAATCCTAATATTTGCAGACGTGCATTAATGGTTCACTGTGTCTTTTTTATTTTTATTTTAGTTATGGATGAATGTTTTACACTCTTGTTCACCTAGAGTTCCATCCAGTTACTGTCAAATTATAAAAATCATAACATTCCTCAGACTTTAAAGTTACACTATATATGTAAAAGTATAATTATTTTACTCTTATTATTATGTTATCTTGAGCAGCCTATTCTTGTAAAAATTTTATATTCTACCATCAGCTTTGTAGGAATATAATAAAGCAGGGAGTTAAAAAATATTACACATGCAACTTTTTAGTGTCTGTGATACCAAATACCGTTGTGATGTTTAACTACGGTCAAACTGTTTGACAAGTGAGCGATGACTATGGGTTGCTCATAATGGTTGCAGTGGAAGTCTTGGGCACATGATGATGAAAACGTTTATCTCATGTTTCAGTTATAGATAGCAATTGAAGTCATGCAGTTGTGTCCTTTGATGAATTTTCAGTTACTACTAGAACTGCTGTTAATTTACTAGAATTGTGATGTCATCCATACACGAAGTTGCTTGCCAGTTACAATAGCGAGTTAATTTTATTTTTCAGATTGGAGTGACCTTATTCCTGAAGTTGGAACTGCAATGCTTAAGTGGGTCTATACGGATCAGGTGGATTTCTCTCGCGGTGATAGTTTTACTCTTGACCTCATGCGAACTGCGAACATATACAAGCTAGAAGATCTTGTTGCCAGGTAGTATTGATTCATGTGAAAAATTCATAGCTTTTTGACAAATTTATGGACCCTTTGATCTTAGTAGCAGTATAATTTCTGTATTTTAAGATGACTGAACATCTTAATAGTAATGGTATAACATGATTGCTCAACAGTTCCAGAAATATGTATTTTCAGAAATTAAGAAAATGAAAGATATACACAAGGAGCTGTTTTCAGATAATCATAATAACCGTAGCAGATAAACACAGATAAACACATGCAGCAGCCTCTCCTGTCCTTTCTCCGTTAAACTTAGTTCAAAACCTTCATGTGGACCATGAACATAATTTGTTTGTAAGATGAAAGTTCTTAAATCAAAAATGAAATTATTAATTACTGTATGTATAATAATCACGGTGGTCTAGCGGTTAGAATGCTGGACTTGTAATACTGGGGTCCCGGGTTGTATTCCCGGCGGTGCTCAGATTTACAACTTGTGTTGGGCAAGGCCGTGGTCCAGGCATCACGGAGTTTTCCTCCGTGGTTTCCCCGGTTTCTCCATGGCATCCCAACAATTACTCCACTTTCATCATCATCTCGCAAAAAGGGGGTCACAGCAGGAGCGTTAAATGTCGCAGGCCCGATCAAACCCATGTACTGATGGGTCGTGAATCCTGCTAACCACCAATGCACACCATGCTGAATGGTGTGTACTGGACATGAAAATAAAAATAAAAATAAAGAATCAACGATAAAATAATTGGTTTTCTGTTGTAACGAAAATAATGTATGTAATTTTAAAAATAAATATACATTTACATGGTTTATTGTAACAAAAGTGATAGTGGAACCACGGTTCCGGAGAATTAGACGTAAATACGTCTATATGGAAAGGAAGTTTATATATTGGCTTTATTCTAAATATTTCCTTTATACATGCTTTACAATTGCGTAAAGTGTGACTAAGACATTGCTTATTTAACTTGAATTACTTACGCTTAAGATGGGTCTGTGGTAGCTAATGTAATGTAAAATAATGTAAGGTAAGGTAATGAAATGTTTTATATGTAACAAAAATGCTAAGTAAACAGATGACGTTTCCTTGGTACCAATAATGCCGAGTAAACAATTGAAGTTTCCAAGGTAACATAACAATGCAGTTACACTTTTTCGTTTCACTTTTTGCCGAATGACACTGACTCGAAAATATAGACGTATTTACGTCAAAAATTTATAAATTGAAGTTTATGAAACAAGGAATAGGTATCCATTTTTCGGAAAGTATAAAATGTATTTGTAATCCTGGAGAAGTTTTGTTGTTTTCTTATTTATTAGCAGTATCCAATTTATAATGTTTGTTGCCTGAATGAACACACAACCTTGTATTCATCGGTAGTTAATGTTTGTAACATTGGTTGTGTTTTTTCTCTTGTGTTATAGGTGCGAAAAGGCTCTGATGGCATCTGTTAATGTTCGCAACTGTGTGAGGTTCTACACAACAGCTGATGAGATAGGAGCTGAAACGCTGAAAGAACACTGTTCTGGACTTATATCAGCACACTGGGTAAGTTGGAATTATTTTTATTGACATACAAGAGACTTTTGTTAATATTTGCTTTTGCTATCCTCATTTTGCATATTCACGTTTTTATTTCGGTATTACGAGAATCATCGACGTCCTATCCGTGGCCAAATTTTAAAGCCTGTTGTGTAACCGTTCCCTTTCTTCTTTGCAGCGTGTTGCCAAGGTGGGATCGGGTTTGATGAAGGGATTTATGCGATTCTTATGCTGGGTTTGCAGGGTTTAATTAAAGATCGCCTCAGCTGTGGCTTTAGGTATTTATTTTCAGGTGATTGCTGATTTAAATCTCGGGATATTGGTCAAAGTTAATGTAATACGCCGATGCGTACGTGATACCGTTTCAACTTGCAACAACTGCCAACTGACTGACAACTAACAACATACAACTGCAACTGACGACTCGACTCAAAGAAGTTTGTCTCTCAAATATATTAATTTCTCCCGCTCATTCCGAAATCTGGAATTTTGTAACGTCATTAGTTCGACATCCCGCTTAGTTTTGTGATTAGTGGAATAATTTAAATTTAATTCAAAATAACCTTTCTCTGATTGGTCGGTTCAATACCCGAATCCAACTGTGACAGTTTACATCGTGTGGTGACGCTAGGTCACTTATGCATACTTTTGCATAAACCCAATAATAGGGGTCCAACCTCCTAGGGGTGGAATACTGCAATGGCCTGTCAAAGTATCCAGTTACAAGAAGTTTTGAACTTCTTGAATGTGGATATTTCGAAAGGACAGCTGACAGTGACAAATGTAGGTCCATGTTCCGCTGACCCTTTGCGACATGTGCGGGCGTGAATGTATTGAAAACGGAAACATTACTTCATCCTTGATAGGTGGTCATAGTCTGAGCTCGATCTCCTGACTAGACAATTACAGTTGCTTGTGTCATACCTTTTCTGTTCTTAACAGGGAATATGATGCAGATGATAAACTTAGCATCAAAGAATTCTGGCATCAGTTTAACATCAAAATTGTGATCGTTATGCATTTCCAATTTTACACATTTTGGTTATACGTAGTGATTTGCAGGAACGCAACCTCTGCGTGTAAAAAGGGGTGCTTGTATATCTCTGACAGTGTTGTGACGCTGCTACTTTAACCAGCTGTGCTAATAAAAAGGACTTCAATGCACAGTACAGGAACTTAATGACCTGATGACAGCCGTTCATCTGATCACAAAGTTTGCCGCTTCCATACGTCGTGTTGATTAAGGTCTGCTCCCTGCACTAGTTTATTCTAGTCCTGACCTTCACACCCTCATTCTCTCAGATTAGTTTTATAATGCATCTCGTCTATGCCGAAGTCAATCGAGGGTTCTCATTGCCTATATTCATTCTGCGAGTTCTGGCTATCTCATCGTTCTTGATTAGAATACCCTGATATTATTTGTTGAAGGCGATGATTTTTGTAATATAAATAAATGTGTTTAGACATGCCTGTAACATTTTTGTGCTGTGCAATGATTCAGAGAGGGTACTGGTCCACTTACCAGTGTTTTGGAATATTTTTCTTTGTTTCATAGGATGACTTCACAAGTGAAGACTTTGCACATATGAGTGCACCTCTACTGTTCCAAATCTTCAAATCAAAAACGGGCTTCCCCTTGCATGCGGCTGCAAGACTGCAGAGAGAAGATGTTGTATTCCTGTACCTCGTGGAAAACAGCGCTAATGTGAGTATTAATGGATGTATTCCGTTTCTTTTACCTGTTTTTAATGAACACTATGCCTACATTCTGATGCAGAAATTCATAATTTGTATGAACGTCTCAGGTTTTGTTGTCTGACTTCGTTATATCTTGTGTACTGTAGCAATCATTTGAGAATAGCATTTTTTGGTTTATTTACTGATGATGTCAGTAGCTGTTCGTGTTGAATGATGGGATGATTATGAAATAATGAATTGGAAGAGATATTGAAGGAAGTGGTTGTGGCCTAATAACACCAGTGTGTGTTTAACATAGTTGAACTTTTTGGGCACCTTATAATCAACTCGGTCTGTTAAACATGGAACGCTCAAGAGTGATCATGCCTTCCACAGCAGTCCAGAATGTTTTGTTTGTTTATTCTTAAACTACAGACGATTCTTTTGGCATTGGTTTGAAATTGTCAAAAGAAATTAAAAGTCTTGTGGAGGTTCCACAAATGGAGTTGTTGGCTTGATTGTGGTGATTAGGGTTCTGATGCTGTGAAGTCTTGTAGGTGGTGACCGGCCTTTTGGAGGAATGTCTCCCCTCTGTTTTTAGGGTTGAATTTCTTCAGTCCTGAAGATAAATTTGATACGGTCCTCCAAATTTTTAGTAATTATCTACAAGTGTATGCAGCATCACAACCAGGAGGCCACAGTGACATTAACTTCTTTGACAACTTCAAGTCCCAGAATGTGTCGGCTGTGAAACAGGGAGAAACAGGCAACGAAGAACAAGAGCTGTTTACTAAAGTTGTTCTGAAAGTAAGGTACAAACCAGCGTAACATGCAGTAAATATTCAGGAGTGGAAGCATTTTACTAGTTTAAGGACATGACGTGAGTTGGTGTGAATACTCGTTTGAACAGTGAGAAAAGTGTGCATGCACTGGTTTCTCACTGGGTCAAGTACCACAAGAGAGTGGTGATTATGTAGGAAAATGTTATGATGTGGGCAAGCAGTTGTGTCGCTGTGATAATAAATGCCTTGTTTACCTTACTTTCAGATCATTCCTTGAATATTGTATGTCATTAATCCTGTTTCCCCCCCTCAGCTTTTTGTTTGATCTACCATTTTCTGCTTGAATTTGTTGGTAATTTGTCTTATTCACAGAGCAACTGTTGTTTCTGTATTATTTTAATAGAACCTCTGACCCATAATATAAAATAAATATGCATAACAAAAAGCATGATCAGTAATGGTACAAAATGTTTACAGGTAGGATCCACTCTTCATTTGCATACTAAATGTACTCATTTAAATTTCATGATCTTGACTAGTGTATAGATACAGCTTTCATACAAATAACATTTGCTTAT